GGAGGGCAGTTTAAAGAACGGAGAAGGGCGGTACTGCGTTGGCAGTAAAAAAAGTTATATGCTTACCGTCAGCGTTCAAGTCAGATGTTTTTTTTAGCACTGAATTAGACCGTATTACACCCTTGCCTATCTACGCCTACGTACACACCAACCTAACGCTAATCCTAACCACAGCCCTAACCCTAACTCTCTTTTTTGTGTTGGTAAGGGTTAGCATTCACAGGCGGCTCATTTCGGTCGCGTTTGTTGTCCTCGGAAGATTCTGAACTTAGTATCCGTGCCTCAAAATGTCGGCGAATTTTATGCAACTCCATTAGGCAACTGATCGCATGGAATTTATTACTGCTAAACTATGATCGCGGTTAGAAAGGGTTACTTAAATGGAATTTGTAAGTTACATTGTCTTCATATTTTGCATATCATAAAGTAGCTTATGATTTTAAAAATATAAGTATGAGATTTTTGAAACCGTAAAATGTTTATTTAAATGTCGCAATATCTGCTGCTTGGAAGGAATACAACATGCTCTGCTAACATAGGAAAATTCGAAGACCCATGCATGTATAGATGAATGTAGAAGTTTGTTTGCATGAAACCTGCGCAGTTTGTACTCTCCAAATTCTAAACACAAGTGCAACTGCAGGTAGCTTTCAAAACAATTGGGGATTTGAAAATATTGAACTTGAATACTACCCTTACTTTTTGAATAAAACTTGATGAAGACGTACTTTGCTACAGAATGGATGAAAGAAAGTATACTTTCTTGCATGCTTTCTAGAAACTATAAGGTGATCGGAAGTCAATAGAAAATGCATGTTGTTCTGTAAGCTACTTTCCGTCATTGAATGGACGTCTTGCATACGTAAGCACCAGCTCCGCCCCGTCGTAGGTACAAACGCGCACGAAAAGTTAGCAACTGCTACTTTCTTAGGCGGTTCTTAACAGACCGAATTTTCCCTGATGGCAAGCAAATAGAAATACTGTTCTCTAAATTTAATAATAATTCATAAATTAGTTCTATGCAGCGCTCCTAAGGCAATGTTTTAGCTCATTTCGGAAGACAAGCGTTGCCTTGTAGTTTCTTCATTGCCTTTTACGATATGAGATGAGTTGGTAACGCAGACAACCCCAGCCTTATGAGGAAAGAATAAAGGTAGTATGAATGAGATAAGATTACCGTGGAAGTTTGCACTTGTCGTTTATAGACTTAAATTCTTCATTTTTGCTAAAGTCGATGAGCAAACTTTATCAAATATACGGAAAATGAATTAAATGAGGACGATTTTATGGTATCTGGCGTGTAAATTTAATTCAAGTTTTCTCATGATCACTAATGGAATGGAATTATTGTCAATCTCTCAGTTAGTCTTTTTGTACAAATTTGGATCTAGAGGTTTTTCTCACTGGAAGGACAAAGTTCTTATAAGTTCGAAGTCAAATTTTCATCCATAGAACCCAAACTAAAAGGAGAGCCAACTGATTTGTTATGGGCAACATGTTCATTGTCAGTGCAGGAAAAGTTATGGATGGAACAGAGACGCGAATATATAATAGTTTTTTTTGCTTTCGGAATATCAAATATGTTCGTAGAATTTTTGGGTTCCAGCCGGTAATAACATGCATGCTTTTAACTTTTTGTTTTTTGGATTCTAGATGCATATACTGCAGATAATTTGGTCAGCGGCCGACACACCTACCGCCTTTCGAAGGGTGTCAACAAAGTTTTACAAGCGAACTGGACTGCAAACCCAGACAGCGGTACAGTAGATGACACTGAATCAGATATTCAGGGTGTCTCCGGACGCGCGTTAGGCTCGCGAAAGGCATCAGCCGGGTAGGTGCCTTATCTAAACTCCCCACACTCTCTAACGGATTAGTGCTGCACTTACGTATGAGCTCATTGTCGCGGATATTCAGT